TTTCCAAGGTAGTATCACTATGGAAGCAGACTACCCAACCTTCCTTCCGAGGAGTGGCTCCTGTTTTAACGTGTAGAAGGAAAAAACAAAAAGCCCTTCCATGCCTCATTATTAGAATGCATTTTAAAAACTGTCTACAAAAAAAAAGGGGTGGGGGGACCAGGTTTGCTGACCCTATAGAGCCTGGTGGAACCACTGAGACTATGGCCCCTAGCTGCCCTTCAGGTCTGGAATTGAACCCACACCTATGGTTTCCAGCCAACAAAAGACAGGCATATGAGTTGAACATTTACCTCAAGTAGATACTCTCCTTGGAGAGAACAATCATGGGAGAAAGATGGACTGCTTATGCATAGGGAGACAGCTCCGAGGGCAGGAGTGCATGGAGGGACGGGCACAGGGAAGAGGTAACTATGGGGAGGAAGTGGGAGGGGAGCTGTTGCATGTGGTAAACTGTGGTCAATGACATGAGACAAAGTGTATGTGAACTGCTGTATGGAAAGTGAATTTGCTCTGTAAATCTTCACCCAAATCACAATTTAAAAAAAAAAACAAAACTGTCCACAACTCTCAATTTACCGGAATTTGGTATGCATCACCAGAGGCAAATAGAGGCTGGGGGGGTGCTGGTAATGCCACAGGGATCTGCACTCTTCCACAGCACCCGTCTCCTCCCTTGCCAGCCTGGTCAATCACCAGTTCCAAAAGGCCCTGCAGACAGTGAAGTGTGGGCAGCGACCTCCTCTGTGGGCGCCCCTCCTGAACAAGCCACCTGTCCTTAACACATTTTCAGAATGAACACAGGGACACAACAGGGACACGTATCTGTGGAGCGGTGACAGTTGAGGGTACATTCTCTTGCTGCTTCCTTGCCTCAGTTTCCGTGCTGCTCCGGGCAGCAGTGGCCTTGACAGAAAGATGGCGAGGAACAGAGGCTTGTGGAAGATGCTTGTTAGTGACGAGAGAACGGAGAGCCCAACTTGAGGACACGCTGCCCCCAGTCACAGTCATCTTGTCGTCTCTGGGCGTACGGGTGGGTCTCGCCATGCCAGTGGGCACAGCTAACGAGGGACGCGGACTGCCATGGTCTTTCCCACCTGAGCAGGGAGCTGTGGAGTCCATTTGTTTTAATATGAATCAGATAAGTGTTTTATTTTATTTATTTATTTATTCTTATTGTGATTTGGGTGAAGATTTACAGAGCAAATTCACTTTCCATACAGCAGTTCACATATACTTTGTCTCATGACATTGACCACAGTTTCCCACAATGCAACAGCTCCCCTCCCACTTCCTCCCCATAGTTACCTCTTCCCTGTGTCTATCCCTCCATGCACTCCTGCCCCCTGAGCTGTCTCCCTGTGCATAAGCAGCCCTTCTTTCTCCCATGACTGCTCTCTCCAAGGAGTGTATCTACTTGAGGTAAATGTTCAACTCATATGCCTGTCTTTTGTTGGCTGGAAGCCACAGGTGTGGGTTCAATTCCAGATCTGAAGGGCAGCTAGGGGCCATAGTCTCAGTGGTTCCACTAGGCTCTGTCGGACTAGCAAACCTGGTCACCCCCCCCTTTTTTTCCCCTCCAAATGATTTTGAGTTTTTTTCCACATTGTTCTCCCTCTCTGTCAAGGATCTCCTACATAGATCCCTTTCCAAGTGAGTGACAGTGGTAGCCAGGCACCATCTAGTTCTTTTGGTCTCATAGTAGTATAGGCTGCAGATCGGATGGTGTACCAGTCGCTAGGACTAATTGTTTCCATGAATTTTGGTTTTCTTCATTCTTCTTTGCTCTAGACGAGGAGAGATCCATCGTTGCCTCTAGATGGCAGCTTGCTAGCTTTTAAGATCCCAGTCACTACTCGCCAAAGTAGGAGGGGGAACAATGTTTTGTAGAATATGTTCAGATACGGGTTTTAAACAACAAAACATAAAGGTGTAATAAATAACTCATTTTTTTATGTCTCTGTGCATTATATTTAAAAATTACACATAATTACCATTAAATTCCTTTCACATGTGTCTTATTAATCTATTTCAATATTTTATATATAGAGAAATAAAGGGTAGACATTTTAAAACAATTGCTTAACCAGTAAGTTATGTTATGTGGAGGGACCAGTCTCGGAGAAGGACACAGTCCTTGGCAAGTTAGAGGTCCGGTGAGAAAGAGGGGGACCGCCAATGAGATGGGCTCACCCAGCGGCTGCAGTGACGGGCTCACACTAGGCGACCGTGGAGAGGGTGACGTGGGACTGGGCGGTATGCTGTTCTGTGGTACACAGGTGACTATGAGGTGGAGCTCACTCGGTGGCACCCAACAAAAATGGAGATGAAAGTGCTATTACAGGCCATACAACTACCACAGAATCGCTTGAGATGTTTTTAGGGTTGTAAAATGTTTCAGACAATAGGAAAACTATTAGGTTCTTTTATACTTTTTCTGTCAGAATTGGCCCAATTTTAAAGTGGAAACATGTGAGGTTCAGGTGCTGCTACGCGCTATACGGTCCCATGATCCCTTTTGTGGAAGGAATGACCAATTGGCTCCAAGGCTACACCTCAGAGAGCAGGCATGGGAAACTCGGGGAGCAGTGCTAGCGGACCTGAAGTTCACAGAAACCACGGGAGATGCTGTATATCTAGTGATTGCTTCTCCCGCATTGACATCCACGACTCTAATGGCTGTGCAATAAGCCAAGACCCACAGTACAAGGATGAGAGCGGTTTCTCTTACCGCAGAGTTGACACACACAATATAGGGCAAAGAATTATTTCCAGCCAGCACTCTTCCTAAGAAGTTCATCAGACTCATCACAAAGGGGATGAACCTACGTGAACATGTACCTGGGCCACAACACTGGTGGCCAAAGAGGTGGGAACAAGAATTACACGGTTAGGGGACTGTAACAGCGCTTGTTAAAATGGGCCTATCTCCACAGCACAACGCCAATCATGTAATTTCACAAGGCAACCACGAGAGGGCAGCACAGTACTTACAGTTGGTGAAGTAGCCGCAGAGAGCAAAGGCAAGATTCCTCCACAGGCAATGATGATGTTGTCGACCATTTGGGAAATGAGGTGGATTGTGTTATGTACAAAAATAATATTCTCATTGCTATTGACAAAATCCATTACCGACTTTGTGGAATGGCTAAAATAACAGGAAAAGAAAACACGATGAATATTCCCTTGGCTTCAGAATAAGAACCTTCAATTATTTATAACAACAACATTTTTATAGTCATAAATAACTAAAATATTGAGAGGAGTTAGACAAGTTTAAAATAGACTATAACTGAGGCCTACGACCCGGGAGTTGGCATTCACCCATGCTGGACTTTTTTTTGTTGTTTGTATTTTGTGTGTTTGTGTCTGAAGATGTAATAACTCACCCACTTTGTGAAAGTGGTCTGTTTGTGAAACACAGTGTATTATGTGGATTCTAAGACACAAGACTGGGTCAGTAAACTTGCCTTTTTATTCCAAAGCGAATCAAGTGGAAGTTTGTTTATCTTTTAGGCAGTTTCACTTTGTGGCATCAGCAAAGACTGTCCCACTCACCTTTGAGCAGCCATGGTGACAATGCACAGTGCTAGTCACGGATGTCACATGATAAGGGAGTATAAATGCATCAGTAAAAAGTCAAGGACTTATTGAATAAAAAAATCCTCAAAGTCAGTCAGTGGAGACACTTCCTCACACAACCATGCAATGGAGCAACCCAAAGAAACACACTCCTGTAGCTCAGCGTCAGTGATGGGGGCCGTGTCCTGATGGAAACACTGAGCTCAGGAGGGGGCACCGAGTTAGTCAACGCGTCTCGCTGTTAGAGTTGTAGAACAGTACCCCTTACACCTTGGACCTCAGATGCGTGGCTCTCTCCTCACGATAAAGGGCTACCCTTTACAATACCGACGTTACGTGAAGTCTTGTTGAGGGATTTCCTGAGAGCCCCGTGAGAACAGAGCCCAGCTGAGGGAAGACGCGCTGGGTGTCACGCACGTAGAAGCTCCGGGGAGCTCAGGAAGTTACACGCTCAGCTCTGCGCATGAAAACTCATACGACAGCGCTGTCTCTCCTGGTGCTACCGTTTCCTTGGCAACCATCCCTCTATAAGAACATTAGCCATGGAAAACCACTGCTCATACGACACACACAGCCTAAGAACGCACTGATCAAGTGAAATCAGAAGGAAAACCTCCCTGGGGTGAACTCGACAGACGGCACCCACAACAGTCCTTCCTTTTTTCCCACTAACAAGCCTCGACTCTGCTCTCTTGTTCAGCTGGAACGAGCACAGACGAGGCGCCCTCACTCAGCTACTGGGTGGTAACCCAGACTGATCTGGGGAGGCCAGTCTTTATACCAGCAGGCCCCAGGGGTGGGAGCGAAGGCTCTATGTCACCTGGGCTGGGCCTCGTGGAGTGGCTGGGCAGTGGGATGTAGTATCCCCAGGATGAAACTGGTCAACTCCATGGGGGAATCTATTGGGGCAGCTGAGCAGATGCCTTAGGGATGTGGTCTGCTTTCTGTATTTAAGAAGCAGCTTTGAAAAAGCTCTTGAGCTTTCTGGCACGCTTGGACTCTGCATGTAGCCAAGTCTTCACTCAGCAGCCGGCCATGTTTCCTGCCCATCCTGGGATGCTCTACGGACTTGAACTAGTGTCCTGCCAGGTTGTTTGACAATCTTGGGACTGTGCCATTTGACTTGTTGACCTAAGGTGTGTCAGCTTCAGCAGCCAGCAACTGCCTAGGAGACAAATCCAGGCTCAGTGGGCCAGGAGCTAGAGGCAGAGCTGAAACCCAAGGTCAAGGGGCCAACACCCAGCCCCTAAAGCTGGCACTTTAAACTCAGACTTCCAGTCTCCTAAACTGTAAGACAGTAAATCCCTATTGGTTAAAGTCATCCACTTGTGTCATCTTCTTTAGAGCAGAACTAGAGGGCAGAACACCAGGTTACGAAATCCACCTTCACGGGTGACTCTACTGACCTCATATTATGTAAATGTGCCCTGACTTTGAAATGATTGAACCAACATCTCAGACCCACTGCCATGGAGTCAATTCCAACTCTAGC